AACTCACCTTCCGTCCAAGTTTCCTCTGGTTTGGGAGTACGAAAGCCATCATCATCAACTATAGTAGGCGCTTCCCACTGAACTAAGATAGACCTCTGACCCAGTACATCAATTCCTCCTATTAGGAACTTCATCCTTGACTTCCAAAAGCCGTAGTTTCCTCCATCAAGTATCACCTTCAAAATGTTTACCAACTCTTCATAGCTCTCCATCTTCTCCACATGATCTCACCCATAATAATACGAACAATTGCCTCTTTGATACCAAATGAAAATGTATCAGCTACTATTACAGAGGTTATTACGATACTAGTACAGAAACTGAACACAACATAAGGGATTTTTCTCAAAAACGTTTACTAGATTGAATGACTCGTGCACTTACAAGTTTCACTCTCACTTCAATCCTAGCCTCACATGTTCACAAGTCACACACGATCTTGTGAACTATTCTCTACCCCTTAGCCCTTTGAATCAAGATCACTATTTTTGCTAGATAATCCTAATTCCCTTGCGCTAATTGTGTTAACCTATACCCAAGTTAACGCCAACCTATTTATACACAATAGGCAAACGGCCAAACCTAGTCTTGGCCCCCAAGTTCAGATTCTCTCAAATCTTCACTCAATATCTTCTTTCCTTATCCTTAGCAAGATACTAGGAAAATCTCCAAGCCCCTTGATCCTCTCCAAGGAACGCCTCCAGCTCTTCCAGAGTATCAAGTCACGGCCATCCTTGCTCGGCCCAACTTACTCCATAAGCCCACGAAACTTCAAACCCAGTCCGTCTGTTTGTACATCCTCCTGTAGTACTTCACGACTGGTTCAGGTCACTGCTACACCATGTACATCTTCAACATATGACCAATATAACCATGAATGTTTGTTGGTAGGAATGTAATGTAAGGGATTGAAAATCAGTTTAGTTTTTGTGGCTACGAAGGCTGTCAAATCACTTTGACTAGAAAATGTTTTTTTTTACGCTATTTTAAAAAACATTTCAAGCTTTAATTTTGTGGGTTTAAAATTATTATAAAAAAAAATTAATGAACCATGTCTAAATGCACTCCCATCACATTCATATGACCGGACCTGAGTATGAGTATGAAAAAACACAAATTTACGAGGAGTTAGAGTTTGTTTAGTGATGAGATAATGTAAACTAGAAGGTCCGAAGAATTATGTAATAATGTTTTGTAGAGCTATGGTAATATTAAGCTCTTTTTTATGTTTTTTTTTTTGAATTGAATGTAAAATTGTAATTCAAATCAAAAACCTTTGTACAATGAATGCTTCTTTCTTCTAAATGTTTCTAGAGTCAAAAGTGACCAAAATAGAGCTTAAGCTTTTGAATAAACAAAGAGCATATCTTCATCGTATCCTTATGTTTTGTTACGATTATAATGTCCATTGTTGGATGTGCGTTGTTTGATAGTTTATGTACTGAATATTTATCCAGATATGCATATATGATTTATAGTGATTAATGAAATTATGATAAGCAAATGATGAGAAATCATTGCTGAAGTAATCGTGATGTTATGTTGTACGTCATTAAGATGTTAAAAGAATCAAGGTGAAAGGTATGTGTCATACATGTTCTTGATGCTGAGTGATGAGTATTATGCAATAATCATTATTGTTTCTTTTCTTGGATGCAAGAATGATTTGGGTTCATTGAGTATACGTTAAAAATATATCCGTGTTCTCGTAATATGTGTTTTTCAGGTCATTCTAAACAAGGCTGGTGGATACATATGTACATATGATTTGCGGTTGTTTTACAAGGTCCATATATGTGTCTTTTTTTTGGTTTGACACCTCTATCTCTATGGCTACGAGGAAGACGAAACAGATACAATGATATAGATGAAACCCCTAGGGCTATTCTTGAAGATGTCTTTTTTTTAACGTCTGGGGTAATATTAAAGATGAAACCAAGTTGTTTACAACCAAAGCCAAGAAGAATCAAAGCATAAAACATGAAACATCATCAATATCCTAATGAAAAGGTTGAAGATGCTAGGAACTTGCGTCTCGAAGGAGCTGATTTTGAAGCCATGAAGGGCCTCCTAGAGCTAGAATTAGTTAGAATATTTTGATTGCT